GTGTAGTAGTTATTTGTTATGTCTTTTACTTTTTGATGCACTATTAAGCTGTAGAACTTTGAGTAAATGATTTGTTGAGAAAAATTCGTTTTTATGACACACCATAAAGCTAAACCAAATTTCTGCAATTATGTCCAAAGAATTTTCGGCGCAAACTCATACATGAGCTTTTCAAAACTTATTAAAGAGAGTTTCTCGAAATGAAGATGGTTGGTGCTCTGCGATCGTAGTTTAAGTGGAAAATGACTTAAGCGATTGGAGAGCAAGGTGGAAAGGGTGCGGAGGATGTCTAAGTGTTAATGGCGGACACAGCCCGACCACTTAGCGCTCCATTGGTTGCATACGAATGCGAAGCTCATTACGAATTGAACAGTTATAATTCTACGTAAAACAACTCTACGGCTACAGTAAACCATTGAAAAAGAATCGCGTCATAGATTAATGTAATAAATAAAAGGAGACACTGAATATTACTTATTACAACAGAGAAAACAATTATCACTGTAAAATATTGCATAACATTCAGCTAAATATTGAATAAAAGCGTTCATTACACGGCAAGATTAAAAGTTGCTCCTTTATATATTATACTATGAGCTCGTATCTTTTGTATTTCGTCATGTTTACATGTTTATTTCCAGTTTCCATAAGTGATTTACTCACAGCTCTTCAACGAGTAGACAAGCTTATTTGCAAGTAGAACGCCTCTTAAGTTGGATTACGCTGATACTATTAATATTAAATAGTATATGTTAGAGCTACTTTTGAATCTTGTAAGCAACCATCCATCAGTGTCACGATTTTGTCAACATGGCAGCAGTTTCGTCGCGAGAAGTAGTGATACTGTAACTTTGGTGAGTTTTTTTAGTTTTATGAGTGAACACACATACATTGTGAACCATGACCGATGAATTGGAACAAATGAGACTTAATATTTTAGTAGATAAGAGCATGTTAACTGATTTAGCTAGTAGACAACAAGTCTAGTCATCTATTCTTTGTGAAAAAAATTTTCTTTTGTAAACGTGCAGTAAATCAAAATAAACTAAACAAAGAAAATCGAATTATTTGAATTGAGTAACGAAGTTTACTTACGCTAAATTTGGATCCACGAAACGTAAGCGATCGTAGAAGTCCGTCTGCATTGCTTGCTGCTCTTTACGGGCTGCTAAGTTGCGCAGCACTCGATTAATAGAAGAAACCTATGAACGAAACCAGAATATCGTTAGATTCTATAGCTTCGCTTATGACTGTCGGCTTTAAAACTTTTAGCAAAATGGCATTAATGTGTATGTTTAAAAGTATGTGCAATAGCATGGAAAATTCAACATTTTTATGCTCTTGGATTCATATTATTATTGCTACTATTAGTTTCATTAGCGCCACTACAAGGTCTACCACTGTAACTACTTTTAGTCATAGCCACCCACTACTACTACTACTGTTACTACCACTACTATTGTGCTGTTACTACTACTACTATCACTACTAATACTTTTGGTGTTAGCACCACCATTACTGCCGGTTGTGCCACTGCTGCTTCTACTACTAATACTAGTGCTAATACTTTAACTTCTACCTGTGCTAACGATGACACTAATCCCACTATTGTTACTACTTATATCACTACTACTACTATTACATCAACTACTACCAATGTAGACAGAAACGAAATGGTAAACAGGCGTCCTTGAGAAGTATTGCGAGTCCCGACGTCTTGAAGCCCAAAGATGCTTATCGCTAGGTGGTGTAAAGTTATCGGCTGTCAAATACACTTGTTACACATTGCTGATGTCTCGAGCACATTACGGTAGACCCGCAACCAACACAGCGGTGGTCGTCTTGATGAGAAGAAAAAACGATACTGAGAAAGTGATGATACTGCTTTTGCGGACGATGATGAAGGTGAGTATGAGGTTGGTAAACGTAGAGTCTCAAAATGGCTCATTGAAGAAAACAATAGGGCAATAAGGCACAGGTACAGTAGCCAACGCAGAAACTGTACGAACACACTGCATAAGGGCGAACGTAGACAGTAACAATGCCACCAGTCTACTTTGCCACGCAAAGACCAAATCTTTCCTATTGGCCAGTTGCTCACTTAGCTACCTATATTTATTTGACAAACTTTTTTTTAAATGCTCAACGGGGAAAGTTTATGAAGTTAGAATATTGGTCAATGAAGCACACAAGTAACTAGCTTTCCCACACTTCGGTTCAGTTATAACCCTCAGAATATTACAAAACCAACCAACCGAAAACGAAAATTTGAGAATAGTCTATTTAAGAGCACATGTTTTACAGCAAGCGTGATTTGACGTCATTTGGTGGCGTCGTTTACCTTCCGGTGTACATGTCAGGTTACAAAAATTATACGAATAGTCCAGCCTAGTCCACCTGCGGTCCAGAGTTTTGCAAATATCTCAGCAACGTTGTGGTTGTATTTCGCTTAGTACCCTGCCGCGAAATTATAGTAGGCAGAAAATAAAAAGGTATACGAATAGTTTTATTATATCGTTCGACAAGGATTGGTTAACTGATCGCAGGATTACTGTCACCATAATAATCATTATCCTTCTAAAAGGGTCCAAGCTGGAACAGAACAAACTTTCACCCAATAATTTAACGCTGGAAACTGGCTTTGGTGACGTCCAGGAAATTGTCCAGCATGGATATGTCGGCTTTCTAACAAAATTCACGCTCGACCAACTTTCAGCATGTTAAGATGAAAAAAGTTTATGGATCACCAACTAGCAGTCAAATCCACACCCGAACCAGACCATCTCCGTGGACAATAGTTGCAAAACAAAAACCGAATGTACCTGCTGATAGGTGAAAATACCCTGTCTAATTATATAGGTGCTAGTAAATAAACAACTCCTAGCAATAACAACTAATATTTCGAATATCTCGTTCGTTTTATTTATTCGCCTATAAAAGTCACCATTGCGCTGCTTAAAGGAATGGACAATAAGTGCATGTTACACACCGATTCGATTAGCTTTGCAGAAACGCTTAGCAAGCATTGAACGTCACTGAAACTTAATGACGATGGTGTTTGGATGAATAAAAACCACAGGCGAAACAAAGGGCATGAGTGGCTGTTAAATAAGAACAGCAACTACTTTTTTATAAGTGTACAAACTCTAGTCGATAACCATGAAAATAATGCAGCTTATATGAAATTATACTCATATAACACAAAAGCTATATGTGTATATGTATACACATGTATATGTATGCACATATATATATACATGTATATAGATTCCTACAAGGATGCTGAAATATAGGGAAGACTCGGACCCTCAAGAGTGCTTCGCACTCGGTAATCGTGGGTTAGAAACCCTCAAGAGGGTTCGAGTTATGCTTATATCTCACCATCCTTGTAGCTGTATCTCAACACCATACCTTGCCATAATAAAGAAACAGTAGGCAGTAAATAAGAATCAAAGCATTATGTATATATTGAATTTACACTTTTAGCTACATATGTATGTGTGCATATATGTAGTTACAAGTGTAAATTCTAGTTGTTTTTAATATGCAGGCAGCAGGCAAGTTCGAAGATGTGATAGTATCCAACTCATTTATAATCTTCTACTATTAGGCAAGTTGGATAAACCAATTTTCTACACGTTGGGCAGAAGTAGATTTTCTACGCCAATATTAGCGCGAAATAGAAGTTCTAATCGCTAGTGACCGATCAGATAGCAAATTTCGATCACCATTAGAAGATTAAAAACGTTTTATTTTTGCTAATAAAACGGCGATGTTTATTACACTGTTCACTGAGTACTGTTGATGCTAAAATTGTCAGTTTAAACGAAATTCAGCACCTACGCTCTGAACACCCAATGAGCACTTTCTTCTGAGCCATAGTACTTTACTTTTTTTAGTTGTTGAAAGTTCCAAGCTTTCATCCAATTTCCACTATCTTCTTATTTTATAAAAAGCGTAGGTCATTAGTTCAACACTGTTAGCAACAATGGAGATTCAAATTTAATGTTTTCTTTAATAAGCAGACACGAGGTTGTTAATATAGAATTTATTAGAATACGTTAGCTAACGTTTCGGCGGTTTCGCCTTTTCAGAGCCTGAAAAGGTCAAATTGATATGTGATCTACTCAGCCAAACACTTTCATAACCCCAGCAGATAAAACTTGACAAATCGATTTGCATTCGCATAAGAAACAGCTTCATTCAAACATCTGATCTCTTGTAAAGCGTGCGGGCATGAATACGTTGGCGAAACGGGTAGACCGCTCTGCGTCCGCATAAAAGAACAGCTAGTCGGTAAATCTAAATTAAAACAAAATACTCCACTAAACTCGCATAGGATGCAGGAACACAACGGAGAAGATTTTGAGGTAGGAGTCACTATCCTTACGCAGAAATCGAAAACATCAGCGCGTAAAACTCTTGAAGCGCTCGGATCAATTCCAAAAATTCAAAAATGAACCGCAAGGAGGAGTGTCTTGTCATCACGCGTGACGTGGCGCCGTACCTCAGGCTAATCCAATGACCTGACACAGACACAGTTATGGCCCATGTATTACTCTGTGCGGCGGCTACCCATCAACTAACTTAAATACTTACAACAAATAAACGGTAGGTGTTTGAATGAAGTTGTTTCTTATGCGAATGCAAATCGATTTGTCAAGTTTTATCTGCTGGGGTTATGAAAGTGTTTGGCTGAGTAGATCACATCTCAATTTGACCTTTCCAGGCTCTGAAGAAGGCGAAACCGCTGAAACGTCAGTATTGTATCCTAATAAATTCTATAATAACAACCTTGTGTCTGCTTATTGAGGAAAACATTGAATTATCAATTGATGCCGAGGTTAACAGGAAGTCGGTCTTGGGAGATTCAAATGTTTAGTGTTCCAACAACTTCGTGTGATTTTCATTTTGAAAGAGCTCTGTGCAGCACCTTCTAGTTCAAATTTGAATACGGTACTTACGGTACTAGTATTATAGTATTCATGATACTTGCAGTTTTATAGAAATAGCTTGTACAATGCATTTAAGACATACACTTGGAATGGTGTCCTGTGAGCAGATATGATCTGTGAGCAGTTTGTCGCGAATTTCCCATGCAAATATACTTGGTTGTTCGCGTTTGTACTCTTCGATCTTCTCCACAACATTGTTAGTTGCAACTCTAGAATGAAATTTCTTTAGATTGGCGACAAGATGTTAAGCATTCTCGATTGCCTTCGTTTCATTGATGCAGTGACGTTTTGCAGCCATCGCTGCCGATTTGCTGCGATGGTAACCAGTTTTCTTTACAACGTGCCTAAAAGTTTCATGAAGTGCAAATCCTACATGACATCGTCTACTGTTACAGTAATAAGTCACAATGTTGTTTATTTTTATGAAACATTTTACCACAACCTAGGTAGCGACATTAAACTAGGAAAGTTGTTATCAAGAACAAAACACAATACCTCAATTAGGGACCAATTCTTTAAAAATCGTCAAAACTGGATATAAGCTTCAAAAAGGCTTCAGTAATTAACATATAAAAAATGATGAAATAAACAAACTAGGTGGCATCTCTTGTAACTAATCTTCACAAAATTCATAAAGAGGAGCTGCTGCAAGCTCTCGAGTTTTGATGAAACACCTTTAACAAATTGCTTAAACTACTTTCAAACAGCTACTAATGTGATCTAATGGAAGGTAAACATAAATTTCAACACAATTTTCCTGTTGCAGTAACTGGTACAAATTTAGTTTGTTAAATCGTCAGTGGTCCGTAGCACGCCTACTTCCAAGAATCGCTGATATCCTAAACAAACTTAGTCACGAATCGACAAACCTAGTTCCCATGGGTGTGTAAATGCCGATGTTGAAGACCTAGGAACGTTATGTCACGACTACCACAGGTTTCATGGAAAAGCAGTACTCAGCTGTCGTTTAACAAATAGATAAAAAAAGGTGACGGATGCCTAAGCCAGAACCAAACCCGAAAACCAATAATCCGTGTCAGCTAACCCAATAAATTCTATGGACGAGCGTTGCAAAACAATGAAACGGATCGAAGTACTGGGGCTCATTTTTCACAACTTACGAAAACGGATTAGCTGAGCAGGTCTCTATGCAGGTATCTAATGTATAAGGGAAATGTGTATAAAGGAATTAGTCACATCTATGATTGTTCCATGTAACCATTTTAGTGAGTGCCTGTGGCGCAGTGGTTGGAGGCGCCACTGCGAAACACACGTGGAGTCGACCCCCACTTCCATCGCCCACGAAGCCTTCCATCCTTCCAGGGTCGGCAAATTAGTATCCGATTTGTCCGGGAGGATAGCTGCACTGGCTCGATCTATCTGTAAGCCACCGCAATTTTCTGTAAAGGCCAGATATTCGTCCAATCACCAGCCATTTTACTCTCCCAGCTCCAAACGTGGTTATTGTGTGAATTTGCTTCATACGAACACAAACGTAGTCAACGTTGCCACCTAGCGTTTTCAAAACAAAAGAGCTACAAATTACTCCATGGTAGCTTGTTTGCATCCATTACAGGGCCACCTAGGTTCGTATTCATTTTGAAGTAGACATTATGGCAAACCTCGAATAACTCAAAACTTGAAATTACCTGTCGTTCATTCAAATCTCATATCTGCTTTTAATTTTGTTTTCCGAAAAAGCGAAAAACTGAACAGGAATTAAATGTCTTCATAGGAATAACTAGACTCAAGCCAAATAGAACAATTAGAACTGAGTAATTACAAGATCTTTTTGGACAGGTGCAGCAGATGTAGTAGATTGTCTTGGCTAAGAAACTGTTTTATAGTCCAAGGTGATCAATAAACTTTAGCACCTCTCTTTACGGACCAGATTCTAAAACTTTTTCATAAAAAAACTGTTTTTGCTGCACTTTTCTTAAACAGAACTGCACCACGAAGTTTATGCATGGAGAGCAACAAATACTTTAGGAACATCGCGATTACTATTGGAAATAGCATCACTTAATCCCGTACGGAAGGAAATCAGTGATTTCTGGAATTAATGACGAACAGCGTAAGAGTGCTTCGCGATCAAATTTTCTTGTCAGTATTCCATGCACACGACATCCTTGAAACCACCGAAAACTTCGTGAAACAGTTAATACAAGAATATAAGGCGATGATTTCATCTCCATTGCTCCAAATTACGTAGCCATCTTCGTCACGTCTTCCTGTATTGATTGCAGCGCCGATAAGTGAGAGAAAATAACGGACGTTAAGAAAAGAGAATCTCTACACATTTGCTAGTATGACAACATGAAGTCCAACTTATGGTTGCTGTCAAAATGCAAAAACAATGGAGAAGTCTTGTCGACATTGCTTAAACATGTTTAGAAAGTTCCCAACAGTGAGCTTGAGCAAAGTTTTTTCTTTGAATTGTTCACTTTCCACGGTCTACTGCAGAATGCTTCCCAGAATCCCCAAACTTGCTTCCGTAATTTACTTGTTGATTATTTTCAAATCGACATCAAATCGTATATAATTGCATTAACCGGGTGTGCATATGATATTTACAGAAAAAAATCCTTCAGCACAAGAAGAGTAAGCCATGATATAGAGTAAAAAAGAATACGTATTGATTAGTCATACCGAGATTAAAGGAAAGCCCGTTTTGAAATAGCATTGTGTTCCTTGCTAAGTAATAATGATACCGATTTCTGCACGAGCAATTGCCCGGAAAAGCAAATTGTTATCACTGGACAAACACTACTATCAAAAACCAGCATCCTGCATAAAAGAGCATCGCCGGTTGGGTATGCCTCCTTCGAGAGATTCTTCGCTGAGAAAGATCTGACTCGATACTAAGACGAAAGCGCCACATCAAGCAGAATCAATGAAGGAATAAATATTGACTTGTCATACCACGATTAAAGGAAAGTCGGGCATAGAACGTACGAATCACTTGTCATCAGCAATTACCCGTTAACGGGATTGATCTGAAGAGTCCAAATCGACATTGAACTCAGCTATGCTGAGGCTATAGTTACAATCACAATCTTAACCATTTTATTTATTGCTTGTTTTTTTAATGGCAGGGTGTGCTGCGAAATATAACTTTTATAATGGTGAGATATTTATATTGATCGATAGAACTAGCAGGCGAAACGAAGGACCCTCATGGTGTGGTGGTGAACACGTTACTCCCCGGAAAGGATAATTAGCCCGTTTGTTCCCCACCGTAGACACCTACGGTCCGAAATTTTGCAAATATCTCAGCATCATTAAAGTTGCATTTCGCAATGTATACCCTGCCGTTAAAAAAAGAATAGGCAGTAAATAAAACAGTTAAGAATGAATTTGAAGTAGTCGAATAATTTACCTAGCGTTGTAAAGCCAAGCTAGAAATTCCTTTCTTCTCCAATAATCATCGCTTTTATCCCAATCACCATCACTCCAAACAATTTCCGGTTTGTAGAGACTAACAATCTTGATTAGTTTCGGAAAGCAAACTTGCTGAAACTCAACTCAAAGTGATTGATAGTGATTAATAGTAGTGCAGAAGTTGTTCGCACATCAACATGATCGCCAACATTAATTACAGTAATGGAAAGATCAGAATTTACAGACGAAATCAAATGAAGCCAATGAACAATCTTAACTGCTTTATTTACTGCCCACTTTTATTTTGATGGCGGGGTACATTGCGAAATATAACTACTATAATACTAAGATATTTGCAAAACTCCAGACCGCAAGTGTATGCCGTGGAGAACGAACGCGCTGTTGTCCTTTCCGGGGAGTAACACGTTCACCACCACACCATGCGAGTTTTTCGTCCGGAGTTTTGCAAATATCTTAGCATTATGTATTCTTTCTTTGATGAGCTTATCTTATCTTAGCATTATAAAAGTTATACTTCGCAACATACCCTGCCACTAAAAAGAATAGGCAGTAAATAAAAAGGTTAATAAGACTCAGTGTTGTTATTTCTTAAGTATAGTGAAAAAATATAAAGTAAGCTTAATAGGATTAGAGTAAAGTATAACTGCTTTTCGATCCTTAGCACAAATGATGGGGTCCTCGTGATAAAAACGATAAAATGGACAAGTTCTCCGCGCTGATCACAATCCGTGAGGGATGCGCCATGCATTCGACGTCATTAAGCATCGTTTTAGGTGAATGAATACGTATCTGACCTTTACAATGACTTGCGGTGGTCCACCGATGTTTCGAGCCTGTGTTACTATCGTTCTAAACAAACCTGGTACCAATATGCCGACCCCGGAGGGATGAAGACTTGGTGAGCCATTGTCGCAAGAAATGGATCCCATGTGTACTGCAGTGCGCCTCTGAGCACTGCTCCACACACGCCACTATCCTCATGATAGCAGCGGAAAATTTATTTCAGAAAATATCTCACGACCACTCGAATCGCTTTTAATTTCAATATTGGCAATTTTTTAGATGCTTCTTGCCTATAATTCATGGTTTAATTAATTCAAACTATAAAAAACATTTTGTTGGTGGTATTTATTATCTTTACCTCTCAACGGCTCAATGCCTCATCATAGCTGGGATTTGTTCCTGGGTGTCGAGCTGCGATGTACCACAGCGTGGAGATTCATCCACCTGGCAGGGTCTCCCAGGCTGAGAAAGAGTCAGGCGTTTCCATTAGGAAGCCTTTCCAAGAGTAAACCAATACCACCGTCCTAGTATTAAAGTCGCATAGTGGCAAATCTCCCTCTGATCCACAATGGTTGTTACTGCCTGTGATGGTGAAGACCTGAGAAAGACTTTGACTAGTCTGCCCTCGAGATTTCCGGAAACCACAATGGCTTAATCAGCAAATTTTTGAAAAATGGAGATTTCCTAAGTATCTAAGTATTTTCTTTAACCTCTCAACGGTTAACCACCTCATCGTGGCTGAGAGGTGTTCCTGAGTGCCATGTTGCGATGTACAGCGGGGTATTCATTCCACCAGCAGAATCTTCAAAGGTAAGGAGTCCGGCTTTTTAATCAGGAAGCCTAGCCAAGAGTAAACCAAACGAGGATCCGTTACCGTCCAGGTATCAAACTAGTGGCATGGTGACCTCTTACCCAAAAGGGCGACGAGTGGCGGTGGTGGTGACGCCCTGAGGCAGACTTTGACTAGGTTGACCTCCAGGGCTCCAGGAAAACACAGTAGCTATACAAGCTAAACCCGCAAAATGAAGATTATGCTGGGGTCCGTACAATTGGTGAGGACGAGCTATCTATGTATCCAAACAAGTATGTATTGCCTTTGGTACAAGAGTCCATGTAAAGCCTTGAATAGATTCCTAATTTACTCCATTTTTAGGACCACTACTGTTAGAAGTAGCTAACTCAAACGCATGGAAGACAATCTTCTGGATCTGGTAAGTAAAGGGTGGACAGGTTTAGGGCCGTCTTAGCAAAATATGTTATTGAAGACCCCTTATGTAAGAAAGGAATAATTATTTTTAAAAACACTATTGAAAACTCTAGAAGAATCTATGCTCTGCACCACTACTTGTTTCTTACATGTGTTCGTATTTATGGGGAATTAAAATGTTGCACATAAGTACAAAGCAAGATCTTCTGGTCCACTTAGATGTTTTTGCATTTTATTTGTTTTACACGACCCGTTCTCACATCTATTGAGTGGATAGCAGCACTCGTTGCATTCGAATCGTTTTTTCGCATCTACCATCGTCGAAGACTTTCCAACTTTTTGTCTCTGGTTTTGGCCACTTCTTGAAGGCTTCCACTTAATCATAAGTGTTGTTGAATGCTGTTTGAGTCGATTTTCCTTGAGCCCGGGATTGGCCGGGTGGAGCGTTTCAACTTTGATTGGAGATAATCAACTTTTCGCTTCGAATCTTGTACCGGTTTCCAGTGTTCTTGTACGACAAGTCGCTTGTGCGATATCGAGCAAGTATCGTGTTTTCTATGAACGGCATCACTACCACTGAACTATCTGCCCTTCAGTGAATGACTGAAATTTGTGGATTCCTTGCTTGTATGCCAAATAATTTTGTTGGCAACTGAATTTCTTCATCAAATATAACCACAAGAATCAGCTATGGCTTCCGCATTCATAATTCTGATACAGTAAAGGAGCCAAAAATAGCAAGGATGGTGGCGGAAGAATTGCATGACTTTCTACTGACTTCTTGTGGTGACCTCTGAGACTCATACCAATTTGATTTATAAGAAAGAAGAATTTTCAGTACATACCACTAGAACTCAACAACATACTTTTTGAACTGAATGGTTTCTTCCATTTTTCAGGCTCTACACAAAATGACTACGCAGCTGAAATACCAAATATCAGTTCTACTCATGCATTAAAAACATAAAACACAAGGTCCGCTGATCTGTGCGGTCAAAACGATCATTTTTTTTTCCCATAGAAAAACCACAGACATTCTACCATAAATTTATGTGAAAAGTTTGTAAGAGAAGAGGCTTGCAGCTGACCACGAATTTTTCACAGTAATATTAAATAAATATGGGATAAGAATGTTAGTCTCTGTGAATTGAAGTTTTAGAAATAAACTAATCTACCTAATATACGTTAATTTGAAACTTTGCCGACGTTTCAATTACCGAGCAAGGATTTACTACGTTTTTCAACCTCTTGTAAAATCTCACCATCACAAAATTGAGAGACTGGAAGGCGGTTTACTGTAAGTTATTCGTTTTCGTTAATGAGGCAGTGGTAAAAATCTTCAGCTACACGAAATGTAGGAATATAAGGGGCGTAGAATTACAACTGATGGAGTGAGAGACCATAAACCTGTTTCCTAATCACTCCATCCTGTGTTTGAATGCTGGAGCAGATTCCAGTAGGAAATACTTTTCGCACTTTCTTAGCTAATTTTTTGATATCAGCTTCAAATATGACATGGCATAGTAAAGTTAGTGAATCAAAATTTTACTTTCTGTAAGGAATTCCTCATACTCTCCCATTGCTTCTGGTACCAGTAATTTCGCAAAATCAGTGCAGAGAATGAATAAAAGAAATTTCTGCAATAGATATGATTAGGAATTTATACTAACAAGCTTGTGCGGAAAAATCCTTCTTCGACAAGTACGTTTCAGTTTGCTCCACGGGGTTTGCTACCACTAAATTTTGATAAAGTCCTAGTACTTTTGGTGTGGATCAATCACTCTTCACACCTTGGTGAATGAAAACCTTAGTAAAAAGAACATCTTTTGAGACTTTTCTAGATTTTTGAAAATTGATTATATGTTGCATGTCTAAGAGCAGAAAAGCTTAACAGCAAAGTTGCTTTAGATGCACAACAGAACGGTGAACTTCTTTGGTTGATGGGGTCAAGAATCAGAAGACTTTCTGGAAGTGCTGTAAAAGCTTACTGTGAAGAAATGTAGCGCATGGCCTGCGACGTCAATATAAATAGATTTCACGGTAGTTACCGTTGAAACACTACAAATTTTAACGATAACCTTAGTGAAACAGCTTCTGATTTAATCCCTTTGAAATAAAGAATGTTAAAAGCTCTTTGCTGTCGGGATGAGCAAAAAATTCTTATTTAGTATGACGTTAAGCACTTTTCTTTTTACATAATAGTCACCAATTCCATTCACTGCGGTATAATTCCATATACCCTTGGCCAAATGTGGCCTAAAAATGGTGTCATCATTTCAGTTACTGAGGTTTAATGGTTTCGTGGATTTAATTAGGAGCTGAAGAGTTTTTAACTGACTTTCAAATACTGCAAAAAAGTCCTTTTGTTGACGACGTATACACGAGCAATTTTCTAACAGCGATCTAACAACACTATTTTAAACAAACTTGTATTTGTGGAGAGGCAACTTACCAAATTCATTCAGCCAAGCCTTCTAGAGCAAAAAGTAAAAAGATCTCCAATAGCATCAGCTATTAATAATAATTACATACCTTGGTTTTGATCCTCCAATAGCTCGTGGTCTTATCGTACCCGATTCGTAGTAACGACAGAGTATTTTTGAAACGCATCTGTAATCCAAACGCATAAAATTAGAATAAAGAAGATCAAATTTCTCAGCGTTAAAAAGCTTCTTTCTCTCTTAACAATGATTTTCTAACTCATAGTGACTGGTGGATGCTTTTGGTTTGTTTTTCTTTGGCCCTTCCGAAATTTCTCTTTTTGAACTGAAGTGCTATGGTAGAGTCACTCAAACTGGAAATGATTTCAACATTCACATCTAGAAGTGTAACTTAGAGCGGAGGCATAATACTGCATGGCTGGGTGAGAAAGTGTAACTGCTTCTTTTCCAAAAAGGGAGAACGGAAGAAAACTGTGACACTCTTCGATTTGTTTGGAAGTGTAGACCTTATTGATAAGCTCCGACTCACGAATGAGCATGAGCGAAGAGTTTTCTGATGCCTCCTTGAGTTCCTCCGTGATTAGCGGAATTACTCGTGATACATTAGGTTTTCCTCTCCAAAACTTCTGATGTACTTTTAACAAGACAGTTAATATTTAATGCGATGACATCAAAAGGAAGGTGCATATAAAAATCATCTCGAAAGCTAAGACATTGCTTTGCTCTTCAATCCTTAATTCGACTAAATCTTGAGGCGTATTTAATGGATCTAGTGGACTTGTCCTGATTTGTGAATTTAGAAAACAGTTGGCAATGATTATCCTCTCAGCCAGCCTCTTTTCTCCTCAAAATCGCTTTAATATTCAAAATACTGCAACTTCATATAAAGGAGCAACAAACTTTGATTATGAGAAAACGTTCCAAAATAAAAAAATGATAGACATTTCTCATGATCATCGTACAGCCATTCCTCTTTGCAGGTGATGTCATTGTGCTCGCATATCATCGACCTCTAGTGGGTTAAGGCTATATGGAGCAATCGGATAGTGAGAAAGACACGATCGTCACCCATGTGTAAAAGATTTCTTCGCATCTTTCGATATCTCTTTGTCTGCCGAACTTAAGCCACGATAAAATCTGCGTCCCATTGAGGGCATCTAGATCACCACTATTCGAAAGCTTCAGTTAATATCACCACATATTCGCATCATATACCTCGCTCAAATAGTGATGAAAACAGTTAAACATAACAAGCATCTTCAAAAAACTGCAAAGCCATTGATTGTGGAGTCTTCACCCTTGATCGTAAAGTAGTGGATGGCGTTTAATTTGTCATCACTTGTCAATTCTCATATAATCGCTCTAGAAATAAGGAATCAATGAAGCAAATTTCCTTTTAAATCCATCATCAACTTAAAAAAGCCAAATGCACTAGTAAAGTAAGTCATTGAATTTCGTGAAAACCAAGAGCAATAAATTGTAAATTTGGGATTTCTCTGCCAAAACACTCAGTGCTAAAAAACTACACCATCTACGTTACACCACCACATTGTAATTTCGGCTACAGCCTCAGCTTTACTGTGTTCATTGCCAATTTGAGCTTTTCAGATCGATCCCGTTAACGGGTGATCGTTGCTGTGTGTAGTAGATAGAAAACTGGCCAGGTGAAAAGAGAAACAAAGGACCCACATGGTGTGGTGGTGAACGCATGAGCCCCCGGAAAGGGTAATAAAGCCTTTGTTCCCGCAGTAGACACCTGTGTTCCGGAGTTTTGCAAATATCTCAGCAGTATTGTGATTGTATCACACGTGATAGACAATAAATAAAGAGTGATAGACAAAATGGTGATAGACAATAAATAAAGAGTTAACGTTATCCCTGCAGCATTTGCAATATAAAATAATCTGAAACCTCAAAATACTGAACCACGTTTCTAGCAGTCATTTTTCTAGCTACTTTACTTATTTTTTGTATTACCACGTGACAACCCAACATAACAAGTTGCTACAATATGTTAAAGTAATGATCAACTTTTTGTTAAAAAAAATTAAGAAGGTAGCCAATCAAGAATTTTAAAGAATTGATGCATGGAAGCTTTTCTCCATTCACTGTAGAGCCTTCGCCAAGAAAGAAAAGAAAATATCATAGGCAGAGCTGTTAAGGAGGCGAAGACGGAAAGCATCCTGTGACTTGCACTTAAGTTAATCATGGGTCTAAGACAACAAGCACCGGTAATTCTCCACTTATCCTTGTCTCACAAGATATCTGCCCAGAGGAGACAGCGAGACGAATAGCGCCCCAGTTTTCCTACATCTTTGTGTATATACATATATATATATACACGTATATATATGTATAGATAGCATTGCTTTTGCTCAAAATCGCCACTGATTTTTCGTCGGCCTCTGTCATAGGGGTTTAGTAAACTCAGTATAGTTTACCACGCTTTGCTACCTTGTGTGAAGGATTTGTTGGTCACCCTGACCCGAAACCATTTCTACCACACACCTCAACGAGGTAGTCAAAGGTTTGTCCGAATCGACTTTCTGGAAATAATTTTTCACATACCTACTAGCACAATTATGCACGTATGCATAAATATGATTGCCTAGGTGCACGAGAGATAGAGCCATTTTAGCACAGCAGAGACAGTGATATCGTCCATTGAATTTACCCACATCTCAGGCAATGACTATTGCTACTCTTGCAAGGCAATGGACCCTCTGCTACCATAAGAGAGGACGCAGCCACATAGTCTCCTCAATATCTACTGGAAATCTATTCCAAGTGGTAGAAGCATAATATACATTAGTTATAAATACTGTCCTCTACCTAGCAGAGAATACCCTTTATATATGCACATACCTCCCTATTTGAATAGCATATTAGGAGAGCCATTCAGTTTCACCCACTACTATTGTCACCATTACTCCATTCAATCCTCCCCCCTCGTCTTTTCAACATATCTCAGTAAAATTATGACGAAAGCGTCGCGTGCTTAACATGAGGAAGAAGAAATATTATATTCTGCATCGATTTTTCTACATCTGGTATACATTAACTATTCTATCCTTTACAACCCAATGCTTTTGGTGCACCGAAAGCAAATAAGGATTTTAGGAATTAGAGATGTTATGTGAGCACTTTTCACTTACCTGGACCGGAAGCTTTAGTGCAAATACAAAACAGTAATACTTACTAACCCATTTGAGACTTGTAGTATCCTACTAATGTCGCACGGTCTGGCTCCACCATGAGCCAGCTCAACGATTTTTTGCCTTGTTGTATCAGGTAGTGGACGTCCATTCACGAATACTCCACCGAGTTGATTGACACCGGTATGCCCTGCATCTAAAAAATAATCAGATCTCATCAACATGATGAATTTTCATAATCTTTCGAGAGTCTATGATTGTGAAAGTACCGACTTTAATAATTATTCAAATAATAATAATGAAGGAAATGAAATTAATGAAGAAAGTGGTGGCGAAAAGAAAATTTAAAATGTCTACATTTACCTAAAAAGTACATGTCATGCTTCATGAAATAAAGAAAAAAATGCATTAAAGACAAAGATAAATAGATTTCAGTTCTCATAGAAAGGTCACATCATAATTTTTGAGCTAAAATATTGTTCCCGGGATTGACTTTCTATTAACCTCGGCATTGGAATATGAATGTGTCGTTTTCTTGTTCAGCAATCGCGAGGTATTTAAACAGCATACACTTCTTCCATAAAAAATATATTGTTCTAGGAAGGCGAAATCAGCCCAAACGTCAGATTGTACGTAAATAAAGAAGTAAAGTGACACCTCGTGCTTACTGAACAGATGTGGAAAGAATATTGTTCTAGCTTTATTAGACGAACTGAAGAGTAGAAAATGAGAGATTGTAACCAATGACCGATCGCGTTTCAGTTTTTTCACAATGGTGCTAAAAATATCTTCTCTGTATATGGTATTTTATTACAAGTTCTGAAAATTTTTAAAACTATACTATGAAGAATTTTCTTCATCTTTAAGAAGATGTCAACAATACTTCGCATATCACTACGTATACAAGTGCTACCAGAAAGCTAACCAGAAGTTATTGATCGAGAATTGCTATTTTTGCAAAACAACATTACTTTGCGGGAAGATTGAGAAGCCATGGACAATGAAATCAGTAGGTACACAATCCTGTTCTAGTAAACCACCACTGCAATGCGTATTATGTGTTGCAAATATTTGAGTAACATAAAAGCACGAAAACTCGTTACAACTTAAATTTAACATATAATACGTTAGAAAGGAAAAAAACTGGAAGCCAGATATTTCCTGTGCAATCTAAAGCATAATGACCGAGTTTTCGAAGTACAGAAAGGATTTCCACATGGGTGTGTTGATTTATAAAGTCAATCGACTAACGTGGATACACTAAGCCAAACCACCTTGTTTCTGTAGATTTTCGTGAGACACATTTAACACCGGCTAGAAATCGCTTTACTTTCAACTGCATTCTGAATTTAACGTTAGGTAACTTTTTTCTCTTTAGCTTGGTTGCTAAGTGTTCAGGGATAATAATGAATGATTCAAGATTAGGCCAAACCTCTTCTAGGTGTCGAACATTGCAATGTACCTTTCTTATTGTTGTTAACTGCAGTCTCAATAAATCAGACTAATCAATAATAAAAGCTATCTGGTCCAAGCTTGGGGGAGGACTATTCTCCAAAACTGTGAATTTTAACAATTTCTTCGTTCTTGAAAAATAACACTCTTTAAAAGATAACCTTTGACTCATTTAGCTGTGTAGAAAATGTTGTCCTGTGATGAATAACTAGTTTACGACCAAAGTGGTGCCAAAAAAGACTTCAAAAAAGTAAAAAAATCTTTTACTTGGATTATAAAATTAAGTAGTTTATGAGATTGCGAAGTAAAAGAAGTCACATATAACATGAAATCTTATTTCTTCTGTCTGAACTTACAAAATCACTTCGAATAGCCATTTACTTTTCCGTTGGCTTCTTTATGAGTGGGCTTTCTATAACACTTTTAATCGCTATGAAACCATTTAAAAATAATGCTGAACTTAGGTAGAAATGATGACTCGTACAAAAAACGAAGTAAATTCTTTATGTTTACTAAAAAAGTAAATCTCTAGTGGATTGAATATTGTTGAGAGCAACATATTACTTTTTCGGCTAAAGAGTACCGAAAATACAGTAAAATTCCTGGAACACATTGATCGGATAACAACTATCGATTTTCTCGGAGTTTTTCGTCTACCAGTTGAATTGTCTCCTTATCTATTTGTGGCTGAATCAATGCAACACATGGATGGATATAATTATACAGTCATTCTCTACTATGTTATTGTAGGACTGGATTGAGTATAATTGAATTTTATGCACGGGTCAGTGATCTCCGTGGATGAGTGTGAGAAGGTGCCGACTGGAAAAACCGGAAACGAGACATCAATCCGAACGCAGACAGCGCAGAGACAAATAGCATATGCTAAGTAAGTAACTACCATTCGGTATTTTTCGAATAAGACTATATCGCTTATATTCCTATACACAATAAACCACTTGATATGGAAGAATCTTACGCGAATATGTACGGATCCTACGAATATAAATCAAGCAATAAACAAATATTTGTTGGTCGTATTTTACTCTGACTTAGTGATAAATTTTGTGCCATGGATTTTTAGTGCAACAACCAAAGCAATCCTTTTGTTTTGTAGAACGACGAAATTGAACTGAAAAAGTTAATGACATCGCTACTAGCAAAAACAGAAGCCATGATTCTCAGTTACAAATAAGTGGGCAACGTTTACTCAAGACACTTTCAAAAATACATTTATTAAATTCAGACCTAACCAAATAAAAATTAAGTTAGGTATAGCTAATTGGTAAGAAACTGATAAAAAATCGCTTCAAAAGAGGCCCAATCTCAAAAGCTCTGCATTGATGAACACTTGGATCTTTGAACTTCGTGTTTTTGAGACATAGCGCATATCTTTTAATTTACACGTTTCCTAGGTAAACCGAAACTGTCCAAAAGTTTCTGACATTACTAGTTCCGTTGTTCTTTTTTAGAGACGTATGGTTTAACAGAAATCAATAGCCTCATAGTCTTACACGTTGGTTCTAAACACAATAGTTCATTTTGCGAGTTTCTGATGATTCACTTCTGATTATCAACTTAATCTTGACTTTCTCGAAAGCACGACATTGTGTTTTTAACCGTGTTTTTGCACACTACTTCTTCCTTGATTTCGATATCGATGTCATGTCAAACAATACGGCTCTCGATTACGGTTACGTCAATGGCAAAGAGCTATCTGTATAGAAGGGTAGAAAGCGCAAAAGACGCCGACACTGGAATTAGCATAATTCTGGCATTAGCCACCGATGCAGCTCCTGGACGCCCCATATGGGAGACGATGCACGACTATGAATCCGTCAAATTCACCACGGGGTGTCATGGCGTTTGTCTGTTTGCGTTTTTGTCGTACTTGCGCAATCCCGTAAAATAGTCCAGCATTTGTGGCCACTCATTGAGTAAGAATGTCTCTTAAGCTCATATGAGCCAGATGATAGCATAACCAAGTTGTGTATATATCGTGAGATTAACTCAGTTTAGGGAAAACTTTTGATGTAACTATTTCAAAAGTTAAAATATCGTAAAAGTGTTTTTTGTGTACTAATGGTGTACAAATTCAAAAACACTTCTGTCACCTCACCACTTACACTTATAATTATTAGAATCATATGAAACCTGGGAGCTTTCTAAATGACACTGCATATCTTGCGTATCTTTTGAATCAATTCATCTCTAAGCAGTCAGACTTAGATAATTGGATCCCGGTTTTCCCTTGAGCGAGCTATCCATGACCAACTATCGGCAGGTGTAGTCGACCAACTTACGGATGCAATTGAACGCCCTCCGTCATAATGCCTAGCGGTGTTTCCTGAGTGAATGCGCGCATGTAGGTGTGAAATCGGGCCGTCGACCGCCTTTCCTGGTATCTATTACAGAATTATTATTCCACTTCAGAACAACCACCTATAACTTCAACGCTACACCAATATTGCTATGTGCAAAAATTGCCCCTAAAAGCTCCTCTCGCAACTAAAACAGGAAGAAAAAAGTCGAAGAACTCAAATTTTGTACTAATCGTCTAAAATCCTTTCCCACTTTAGTGTTTTGTTGAGTGACAACTTTCCATCGAAAAAAAATTTTTCGTCGCTACTGCATTGCAGTTATTATACCAAGAAAAAAGCTACTGAAGAGAAACGAGCAGTCGGTGATAACGTCAACAAAGTTAAAACTAGCTATATCTCAAATGCACATAGTATGCTTGCAAATGAGATAACGGCATTCGAAGAATTCCTTTGCTTTATGTTTATTGGGCTGTCAACGCTTTTACGCTCTTTCTTTTTCTATGTCCCTCTCTCATACTTCGTCATGTGAACACAGGGGCTGTTGGCCTCGACTGTAACAATAACCGTTCACTTTTATGGGATATCTGTGGTGTAGTTGAGGTCAGACGAATAAGGCGCTTAGCGCTTTGGAATACAAAATTGCATCGCCATTGTGTAGCAGAAGATTAGCAGTTAATTTATATTTCCACCTTCATGGAAGATGTTTGGAATTTGTGAAATGATAAGTAGCTAAGAAGGTGAACACCAATGAGCAAGTGAGTAGGCCAACAACAATGGAAATGAGTAAGTTAACAACAAACCAACGAAGATGGCTTTTTATTCATGTAATAAATGCAGCACACACTTCTCATTATTCATAATTTCGTGAGAAATAATCAATAGAGAATGAAACAATGAGACACCTGGATGTGTACGAGCATCCTTCTATGCACAACATATACACCTATATGCATATACGCATGTGTCTATGCGTGTATACGTATATATGTATATATATATATATGTATATATATATGCTCGTATGTCTATGAGAGAACAACAATTTATTTCAATCGCGCGCTATCTGCAGTTGACACTTGGTTATGATACGGTAGCGCGTTGTTTCGTATTGTCATTTTATATAAGAGTCTGGATTTTACAATTAACACAAAAAAACTGAAGAGACATAACTTTAGAGTAAAAACTATTTCCGAAATTGTCCACAAGAGCGTAAAACTGAATTCGCAAAATAAGAAAGGTAAAACGACCACGGAACAAGTATAGCTTTGAATTATAATAAAGAAAAAACGAAAAAAATAGACATTTAGTTATGAAAGCGCAAGTTAATAGCCTTAGGGAAGGAAGGAATAGGCCTTCAGTCATCGGAAGCACGTCTGGAATGGCAGGCCCAAAAACACTAAGCTCAACCACATTTCCAGAAAAAAGCAACCCACCACACTGCGAGATGATGCTTCTCATTCGGTTAGACTATTCCTTCCCTTCCACTGATAATTATGAATAAATTTTTGTAAAGATGGCAACTTGCCACCAACCTCTACCTGCAGATGGCATTTTCAGTTTTATGTCGATCGTCATAGAAATCCACCCACGAGTGCTCCAGTGCGACAGTGAGATTTCTGAAAAGTTGTCATTTAGCGTTTCGATCAGTCAATGGAATTATCTAAAAGTGGGTCGCTGCAATTTTTTGAATTTTAGTTAAGATAGAGTCGTTTTCGATGCACTTCAAATTTACAACATGATTATAGTACTAATCATCTTTCTATTTGTACCTGATATGTAGTGGTATGATGAGAAACATAATCGGGCCACAAAACTCAATATGAAGATGTTCCATAGAGCAAGAATTGAGAATGGATTAGCGATGGTCGAAGAGGGTGGCAAGGCTCAGTCTCATGCAGCTGGGTTGCTCTCATTCCACGCATGAAATTAAATGATTCTACTGAAGTGGAAGAGACCTAATCAGGCGTAGTGTTGCGCGGCGCTGGGAAAGAGAGGGTTGGCTGAATACACTCATTCTAACACATTGTTCCGTCTCAACCTGTTGTCATCATTATTTTTTTCGTTGCTTTTTGTCTAGTCTTTAATTCGTAATGATGCGTTCCTTCTCATTAACATAATCCAGACGGCACGTCATCCAGCATAATGCTAGATCCAGTTTATGACATTTTAATAGCTGCCTCTTATTAAAAATAACATTACACAGACAAACACATGTATCGATTAGTACATAGCTAAAAGCGTGTTAGAACGATTAAAGAGGATGAATCAAAAGTATAGCGTTGGGGGCGGTGTTGGGCCAATGCCAGCAGGCGTGCGACCGTATTCAATCCCGCCCATACTTGACGCTGCCGCTCACGTCTTACAAGCCAAACGTCGACAAGGAGCCAAATAATTAATTAGCAACTCAATCTCGGTCGATTGCTGACGTACGCTTTGTTTTCCTTTCAGTTTTATCTTGAAACGTTTGGAATTTTAACAAATCGACCGCCACTGATCGCTGATTGGCTCAGCAGGACTTGAATTAAAGACTCATGTCCAACGATGCGAATGATCCGGTCATGCCTGAAGAAGTCAACGAATGCTCATACATGCTTCACTGGTTGACACATGGTCAGATTGAAATACAACTGGAACTGTCTTCAGCTACCCATTACCACGAAGAAAATGCGTTAAACTTTATATCCCAGTCGACAAGTATCACAGTTAGTTGTTGGTGATGCAGTCTTTTTTGGCGTCTGAGTCTTCGTGGTGGGATTAGGGAAGGATCAGCGCTACTCTTTATGACGGATAGCATGGACTCAATTAGAAGCAATAGTGAAGTGTTGATGATCGACGAAAGCGTAATTTTCGGTTTTTTTACTTAACGTTTTGTTTATAGGGACGGCGAAGTTTGTTTGGGAAAGAAAACTCTTCCTATTTTAGCCACTCTTTCGGTATTGATTTGCTCTGTCAATACGACATTAATGAAGCAATATATTTTGCATAACTTAAAGGTATTTGCTAAACGAAGGATCTCTAAGCAGTCCTACTTTCATAAACCTGTAAAGAGGAATTTTCTAATGACGAATTACTTAACGATATCAGAAATAACTTTGTAGGATTTTTCTTTTTACGCCTGAGATTTTTGACGCAACACCAATTTTTGTTTCAAAGCGGTTAATCGAAAAATAATTGTTTTCATATTTTGTTAGTAATATTCTTGTACGACGAATTTGAAATTAAATGAATTTTTTCTGCTTGCAAGCAGTTCACCTCCATTTCACCTCGTTGATCTCTTATAACGCCCAAAATATTTGAACAGTTCTGAAGAATAAATGAAATTTGCTAACAAGCTAACCGATGGACAGCTAACAGCGCTGATGTATCGTTTTCGAAAATTTTTTATTACAGCATTTTTATATAAAAATAAAAGTGTCGATTTTTTTTCGCTTCACGGCATTTCGAGGCAACAGCAATGTCGTCTGAGTTAATGTTCTATGTGTGCGACGTAGAACTGTCGCTATCGTGTCCATCTAAAAAGCTTATCTCATCACGAACACTCACTCGTCTCGCTATTCACTAACCTGTATCGCTCAAACGGTTAGAGGAAGTGATGGAGGTAGTGGTGGTGATAGTGGTAGTTGTGGTGGTACTGGTGGTAGTTAAGCGGAGAGTCAGACAGTACGGACAGATAGCGTTCATCAACGATGATGCGATAATTGCTCAAGCAACTTATCCAGTTGACAAATGCGAGCCAGAGAAACACGGTGTCGATCACGGTATTGATCAAAAGATTACGTACGAAGCATTCTGAGGGCATGTCATGAACGATCGTTAACTAGCTATGAACTCAACTCAGCCACATTACTTCGCCAATGTGTTTTGAAATTGTTCTCTGCGATTTCATGACTGGAAAATCATTTCAGCGCATCATTCAATGGAATTACCGTAATTTAATAGGCAACTTTGAGTTGATGGTGCCATATTTATTGCTAGCCTGTAAAAATATAACATTTGTTGACAAAAAAATCATTGGTTGAAGAATGTGTTGGAGAAAAAACGTCATCTAAAAAACGCTAAATCGTTAAGCTCGGAAATCGCCGATTATTGTGAACACTGTCTAATCTCTACGTATTTAACATACCTCTACATATTTGATAGCTAATAATGACATGCATTTGCTTAGATTTCTCATCCCTATCATTGCAATTCCTCGAAGGATTTCATTTCCACTCGAATCGATTCCATATTTCGCCGTCGTTGATGTTCGTGTGAAAATTGTAAGCAATTCCGAATGTTGCACTGTGTCGGTTGACACCTCGCAATTTGCAGCTATGCATAGAAGGATGAGACCATCTGTCGTTGTGACAGCACAATTACATAACGACGACGACGACGACGACAGCGACGACGACGACGATGGCAACGATCACGATGATGATAGTGACGAAGACGACGTCGACGGTTATCTGCGAGAGGTGTAGATGATGTGCTATCGTTTGATGAGCGACAAGTTGTTGAACATGTAATCGTATGCGTTACGTGTGAATGTGTGTATGCGTGTCGATCGAACCACAACTGCCATCGGATTAATTGCGTCATCATATCATATCTACTACACTGCTACCTTTCAGGAGTCGTTTATATCTTTGAGTACGTCCTTGAGAATTCGGCCTTAGTTTTAGAACAACACGTAGTTATCTAATTAGCGCCCTATAGTTTGATAAATAGATATTGATGGAGTTACCTACTCGCTTCCAGAAGTTGTAGTTTGGCGTCATGACTCGACAAGAATAATCATGATTGTTTAGAATAGTGCAAAATTTGCACTGAAAACACATTAAAGCCTAGATGTAAAAATTCTTCAACATAAAGAATATTTTTCTACATATTTGCTAGTATCGATTGTAACCAAGTATCAAGGTCAACAAAATTTTTAGTCTCGGTTTCGTTCTTGAATTGATCGGCGTCTGCGCCTTGAAAAGACGTCCAGTCAATTAAGGCGAGTATCAAAAGAAGAGAGTAGTGCTCTGTTCGAAGATCAGTTAATGAGCCATGGAACACCATAGACACACGCGCACACACAAACACACACACTCATTCATTCACAGCGAGAACGGGTAGAAAATTCCAAAAAATGTAGTTAAGTAATAAAGTTAATGGTATAAATATTATTCCATGAGGTAAATTTGTTTCCTAGAAGTGAGCCTAAGAGCATAAATCAGTCAGGATATTTAAAAAACGATAGTATTTAGGTTTATTGATAAGTTAATAAAGAGAGAAACACGGCTTGGGTCCTACGAATTTCACCATATCAGGTCAACAAACTATAAAAGCCACAAAAGAAGCCACTTTATGGAGATTGTTCTCAGTAGTTATTGGCAATAAATACAAATGCAAAGACGTTTCCTTAAATGTAACTGAAAATTAGGTGATTATGTTTAGTGCTGGATTAGTGGGGTTTAGAAACACCAGCAAACATAAACAATCTGCTAGCTAAGGTTTTTTTTCAGAAAAAGCGGCGATATCTCAAATATTTTAAAATCGATTTTTTAATCAAATTAAGTAGTGAATACAACCACAACGTTGCTGAGATATTTGCAAAACTCTGGACCGCAGGTGTCTATGGTGGGGAACGAACGCGCTATTATCCTTTCCGGGGATAAGTAGTGAATACTTGTAGGTTTTTACAAATCAGTGGACGATGGACGCAAAATCGTTACTAATCTGTAATATTTTATCGAGTATCTTCAGTTGTTACAATTTCAGCTACTGAAACTTGAACCGCTAGCGAAAGTCACTGCTGATAGGAAATTATTCATTGCTTATTTTCTGTAAACTCTCCATATTCACATTGATGGATAGAGGTGGTGGCAAACTGGATTCGCCCAAGAGCAGATATGTCCCGATTATTAAAAAACTTCATATTCAATTAAATAACTGCCCACTCGGGATAACTAAAAACAGCTATTTTTAACTCAGTATAACTGCCACAGCTAGTTCACATAGCCAGTGTCAAATTTGAGCTTAAGTTATTTCCGATCAGAGGTTTTGTTTTACCTCGACGCAACAGAACCTACCGTAATTCAGGACCATCGAACTATTGGAGCCCTATCAGCGTAAAATCTTGCAGAAATATATTTAGAAGAAATCTACTTGTATGCAATTTATATTTCTTGCATATTTTATTTTTAGATAATTGGCGGGTAGCACAATGATAATGATGCCCGTCACTGCGAGCATGGTTCTAGTTCGATTATGCTCCAGGGCAACCAAGGCTCTTCACTCCGGGTTCGGGAAAATCGTGCCGGAGTTGTCTTGGAAAAAATCACTCAATGCAATCTAGTTTGGGAACATTTCAGCTCGGCTACCTTAGCACTCCAGGAAGAATTGCTCCACCAGTATTCTACGACATTCAAGATCAAATGGAAATCCTCAAACAGCAACCGAATCCACACGTTGAAGTTAGAACACCTTTGTGAACAGTGGATGCGAGGGAACGAATTGAATGTGAGAAGTGTTAGAATGCGCACATTGGACGTGAAAACGGGTCAAGCAAAATAAAGAAAAAATATTTTTTCAGATATATAGAAATATATCTACACGACCAATGTTTGAGTGGACGTCCTCGTTTTCTAAATTGGGTGTAAAACCTAAGCCTCTCAGTAAAAATGTTTTAGGAATATTGTATGGAGCACTCGCAATATTTAAACTTGTAAGACCTAAAATTCCTGCTTTGATCATTACGATAATGTCAGTGAATGTCTAATAAATTCACCGAAACTTTGAGTTTGAATCTGCTTGTCGTGTGATTTTGCAGAATTCGATGAATAATGAAGTGGTTTATCTTTTCTACATTATAATACTAATAAATAATCAAACTCATAGATCTACAGGACTCTGTGATCTAAAATGGTGATTGGACCAGTAGTAACGCATACCCAAACTGAATGCTATTGCATGTACTACGCTCTCCTATTCTTCATGCTTATTGGTGCATATATTCGACTTTCAGCTAACTTCTGTTTATTGAATACTCGTGGAATAGGAAAGTATAGAGTGAATTCAAAAGAAAAAAACATCTACTTCGACAAATAGTTTGTCGGTAATGACTGAATGTGCGCAGCCTGACGAGGAGCTTCTCACTTCACCTGTGAAAAAGTGCTTAGCAGTCGTCGAGTGATTCTCGTAACTGCGTAGCTCATTTGCTAAAAGATCTAACATTTTGAATTATTAAGTTAATTTCAGTTTTAAAAGAAGATGGCGTAAACTTCAAATTATCAGCTAAAAATAACTTCATACTAACCCTGTGTTAACCTAATTATTCTGGAAGCCTTAGGCGCCGAAGCGTTAAGCAAATAAAAGTTTTATACCAACTTCGCGCCATCTCAATCACCAAGAGATTTTTCGATTACTGTAACCGAGGTTTAATCAAAATTGGCTTTCAAGAAATTCAAGAAACTATTGAATATTTGTACCCACGTTGAATAAGAGTTTGTTTTCGAGCTTTGACTTCTACTGTGCTGCATATTGCTCAGTATTCGATGATCAAGTAACCGAGCAGCCAAATATTAGACCGCTAGAGAATTCCCTTGTGTGCCGTTACCTTGGTAGGCTACATGTGGTCATAAAACGTAACAGCTCAACGAGGTCTCTGTAATTGGGGCCAAGTTTGATACCGACTGCTCAAAGATGAACAAATTGGGATTAGCCATCGCTCGACGTATGTCCGTTGTTCAAGACAAAGAAGCCGCATGTCAATTTTCGAATTAGTGCAACCAGGTAGAAGACCAGAGCTGGCTTGTCATCATTCAAAGGTCAAAGCAGCATCACACGCTTTTATTACAACCAGTAAGTACAGTTCGGTGTTCTAAAACTTCAAACCCAAATGAGGAATATCTAGCAAAGAGAGCGAGGAATTCCCAACTACTCATGTTTTTCTCATTAATGGTGAAGAATCGCTCTTGATTTAGATCAAAATGGTCATCTTCTGCAGTGAAAAGACATTCTAGTTTAAATTACAAGCTCGATGAAAAAATCTTATGATGGCAGTCCGAGTTCATGAACAAGTACAGATTCAGAAATGTAAGCAAAACGTTCGTTCATTAAAAGTACTCCGTACTGCAATAAAGTGGTAAGCTAGCAAAAGGAATTTGTTGGTAGAAGAGCGGAAAGAAAATGCAGAGAAAGAAATAGAATATTGAGGAAACTTCGAAGTATTCGGGTTGTTTAGCTATCTGACTCTCCATACTAATCAAAGCATAAAACTTATCCGATTAAGGATTATTTTAGGTTAAAAAACAGTAGTCTAGAACCTACAATAGCATGAAGTGCAATCTATTCTCCACCGAGAATCATCTTCTCCATAAAGACAGGAAAACTTCAGAAATCCAGAAAAATTCCGGACGCGTTATCTGCGACCTATTGCACTAGGGCCGGATATTGCATCACCTAGACAAGTCGGTACCAGCATTCTGATACTATCTAAAACTCATTAACGTCGTCATTACGTCACAACTATCCACTATTAAAGTTTTTCCATGAGAATCGAAAAGGACAGTGTGCTCTACCGTCAACAGATTAGTAGTTGTTAAATTTGCCTTGCATTAAATAGTTTTCCTAAATCCTATAATGTAAATCGCTTAAAACTGCAATTCCATTCCGTTAGATAGTTTTCATTTTTGCTGATCCTTTCACTTCAGAATAGTTCCTCTCTCTCCAACCCAACAAAGTAGTCCACTTCTGCATACATGGTAAGTGGTTAACAACATGAAAACACTTTTCCAGAGCCTTCTTATTCCCACAGCAGTTTATCTGTGACGTGACCGATTTTTCAAATTTCCACAAAAGCATGGAGGTAATGTAGGTAAGAATAATGATTCGTTACCGTATCTGAAGGCTATTGCAGTTAGCATTTTTAACAATCACAAACGGAAAGTGCGCACTATTTTTCTTCATCTATTGAAAAATTCACTTTGTTAATAACGCCAGAACAATAACGTCTACACCGACTTACTTTCATAGTTGTTTTCATTAGTGAGTGATAATGAAGGCGATGAAGTATGTAATACTAGATGTAATTTGCTAGCAATGAGAAGCTCATTACTGCCATCGGCTTACTGTAATTTGATTGTCGTTACTGTAGCACAGGAAACGAGATCGACGTGTGCGAACCTAATGAGTGCAAATATTATTGTTGTTGTATGATGTGTTTGGAGAATACGGATTACCATCATCGGCATGGTGTTTGAAATACGAATACACTACCTATAATGTGCCAAGGACGCTCGTTATAGTAATGACACCGATGACGTACGGCCCATAGTTAATAGATATTACCAGCTCGTTACAGTCAACTTCACGGTAACTCTACAAAGTTCTAACCGAAAAAGGTAAGCTTTCCAGTCAAAGAAATTCATACCATCAATAAATTGCTATTTTAGAGTTACATAGATCTAAAACGTTATTCTAACACTTTCCGTCC